TACGTGCAATGTAAATAGCCAAGTAAACGAGCGAGTGCGCTATGACTGAATGACTTGCTTTTGGTTTCATTTAGTACGCATCGGAATTCAAATGCAGTGCATTGAATATGGACAGAGCATTATATTACGTTTCTGGTTTTTCGCGCCCACTCAGTACAATGAAAATGATTCAATCTGAAGAGAGAGAGCGTTGTTAGGGACATTATTTATTTTACTATCACATAATCCCATATTGTACGAGTGACTCTTGGCTTTGTCTTCTTTTGGTTGCATTTTCCATTGGGTTCAGCGGTAAACTTATTGTTTTGCTGGTTGATAGAACTGCGGAAATGTATGATTCGCCGTGGCGATTTTCAAAAATTCCAGGACATTTACTAATGGGGAAAAGGAGGCAACCGTAAATTAATACAGTGTGTCGGAGAGATGAGATAATGTTTGTTGAAACAGAACAAAGACTTGCCTATTTGTTTTATATTCACACATGTGTGATATAATCATAGAGCGTATATTAATCGTTGCTCTTTGTTTTTCCTTATTTAATTTGTATCTGAATTATTCATAAAATTCAATTACAAGTTTTTGCGTTGAAAGGCAAAAAAAAAACACGTATACAAACAGTAAGTACACGGAAATATTGAATACATTGGCATGTTTAACTACTGCCATTTTTGTTCTGGGTTGCTATTTATGACTGTTTTTCCTCTATGTTTGTCTCTGTCGCTGGTAATGCATATTCTGTCGCAATGCAAATCGACGTGATGGGCTAAATATGTAAATCATTGTATCGCGCGCTACTTGCGGCGATGGCATGCACTTGCTGAAAATTGTGAGTGTTTTCTGATATTTGATGAAGGATAATTCTGTCGTTGAGTCACCCATTTGCACGTTGAACGCTTTCGCAGTTTTGCACTATCAAAAACTAATTAGCGAAAAAAATGGCAAAAACAAGGCATAAATTGCAAGAAAAAAGCTGGCATTTGTCATAATCACATATATATCAAATTTAAATTCGTTTATTTTATTTCCTATAGCTGATGTGAGTGACACAAATGCTCTTTTGGCACGAATCAGGTACGCTTCATTCAAAGTCCTGTCAATGCCAACTCAATACGAGCGATGTATTTCCAAATATTTCTGAAACGCACGCGTCGAGTAATGCAACACAAAGGAGACGGAAAATTACACAGTCAGAACCAGGAAGTCATTTCGATCAAGCCCACATATTATCATCATATTGAGTAAAAGACGGCTGCATATAAGTGCAGTTAAATAAACGCTACCGCTTTTGTCTGTTTTGTTTTTATGGTTCTGTTTCACTTTTCATGAGTTAATTGTTGTTCTTTTTCCTTTCTTTTTGTTTATGTTTTATTCACAATGCATATCGATACTATTGTATCAGACATGCCAGCCAGTAGACGATCAAAGTACTAACAGTGAACCCAAGTTGAACTGAACGATGAAAAAATAATACTTTATACTTCATACTTCATATTGATCTGGTTTTCAATCGGGTGATGCAATGAAAACATACAATAAACACGTGCTTATTAATCGGTCATATATATATACAATTTGGTCAATTATATTACGTGAACATCGACGATGACGATACGCGAAAAGAATATATTAAGTGATAAAAACTGTTTTAAGTTGTACATTTTTTGTCGAGTTTTGAACTAACGGCAAAACAATAAGTTCGCCCAAACTGAAGGCAGTGACACTGCCATGAAACGGTTTCTTATAAATCAACAAATATTGCTTTGTTGAGGGATTTTTTTCTTCTTCGTCTTTAAATTCAATTTTGCGCGCAATCGCATTGCGTTTCAGCGACATGTGAGTTATAAGAGATACGTGCAGACTGTACATTCGACAAACAAATAAACAAAAAAAATACCAATAAATTATATCATTGTGCATAAATCCGAGCACGTGCAGCTTGTATCCGTTTTCGACCGATTACAGTTTGTTCAAAGCTTTTCTTCCATACTAACGTTCACTATACAGTCGTCGTGAACATGTGATCATATTCTTATTCATACGTCAACGCTAAAGTATCGTGTTTTATGAAATAGGCAACACAAATTTATATATATATGCATTCTATGGCATCAAAAGCCCTTGTAGGGGCTTCTCCAGCAAAAAAAACAATTTTGAAAAATAAACGAAACCTATATAGTTGACATCATGATGCAGAAGCAATCGAATAAATGTGAACAAAAAAAAACGATTATTTTTTCGCTTCTTAATAGAATGTGGTATGAACATAGCTAGTTATATCGATGTTCACTTTACGTAGAAGAAAAATTTCGTTCGTGTTCTGACAGTTCTGCCACGTGCTTTGTTAATCGAGTGCATTTCACTGATGAAAACGTGCTAACAGTGTAATACGTTGGAATTGCAAATATAAATGAAATAACGTACACTGAACATAACAAACGACAACAAAACTAAACGTGAACTTCACGAAAATTCTTTCTTCTAAATCTATCCAACTAATTGCTGGTTGAACCAATTTTCTCATACTTCGTATTACATAAATTAACTTATATGTGATGCTCTCTGTATGAGTTCAGTGCACGGATGAATGGGCGTGGGTATATTACGTGTATTGCCATAGGTAGATGAAGAGATCTTGTGAATATGGGGCACGATAACGATGCAGTTCATTCTTTATTATTTGTTACTCAATTCTTTAATGTGGTTTTGTAATGTTTCTGTGCATAGTTTTATTTCTGACTTTTCTTTGCCTCTGGTTCCGTACAAAATTTAACGCACCGAAAACCATTTGGTTTATAGAAATATACGCAAGTATGAGTGGATTCCATGAGATAAAAGTCCACTGTGTGCACACCATGATGTATCATGTGACGCGCGCGAATCTTTTGAGAGCACGTAAATTGAACTGATTACATAAAACACAACCGCTCCGAAATGGATCACTTCATATGATATTATTTCATCTTATCGAATTCATTTAACGGTGCTTATTGTCAACCTCACTTTATGAATAGTATATAGAAACGACGCACACACAAAATAAATGGAAGAATCACAGTGACTTTTAAATTTGTCGCTTGCCACATGTTCGTGTGTATAACGCTGATTTAGACATTCATGCAAAACCTACATAGAAATCATGCCATAAATTGAAGAAAAGGTATTCCACGACACAGCCAAGCAACAGAACATAGAATAGAAAATCACACAAATAAATAGTTAACCCAATTTATATACAAAATATCTAATCAATAATGACCCATTTTAGTGGTGCGTAATACTATTATAATTATTCCGATTAACATTTACGAAATTAGTTTATATATAAAGTACACAATATGATGACACCGAACTCATGCTGCGATCGTATTCAGCCAATTATTGAACAAATACCTAGGGGTGGACACTGGACACAGGATTTAAGATTTAAAAAGAGCAATGCGTATGAGTGCAATACAGAGAGATATGAGGATTCCAAATAATTTATCAAGATTCATTTTGAATTTTTTCACGTGTGTTTTCGGTCTGCCATTTGGTCAAATTTAAAGAGATCCATGAAGAATGGAATAAATTAGAAACCCCTTTAGACAAATATAAGCATACAAGAAAAGAGAAAAAAAGACGGGAACAAAAACACAGCCTATTCATTCAAGCAATTAATTGCTGCGGTTTTCATTATTGAGCCGTACGTGTGATATTAACGTCAATATGCAATGTTGAGGTGCAAATTTTGGGACGAAAATATTTTTCGAAATGAAAACACACAAACTCGGGATGTATTTACGAAAGCAACATTCAACCCCATTTTTAATATTCTCTAGGTTGTACACAACCTTAGAAACCATGGTTTCTACCTACACATTTTACTAGTCGTTTTTTTCTCAAAAAGTTTGCTTTTCCACAATTTTTTTTTGTTTTTTCTTCAAAAAAAGAAGATTTGTACTTTATGATCAAAAATCATACGGCATTACCAATTCAAATCCATTCACCAGCAGCTCGAAATTCCAGCCTGGTACATACACTTTATTAGCAATAGTTTTTGGCTCAACGGTCCAAAACAATTCGTTAGATGTGGACAGACACATACAAGGATAGAATGAGGCCTGAATTCATCGGTCATTGGCATTGTGAGTCAAGAAAGGGAGGGAATAAAACAGGACAACAGACATACATACATATAAAATTGGCGACACAATCTCTGATTAAAAGTTCATTTAATTTCACTCATGAGCATTTTCTGTTTATACGCTGTGCGAGTATGTATTTTTTGGCTGTGGAATCGCCAGTGTATCTGTGTTTTGACAACCACAACAGAAACACATGGCTAGATGATGTTGATGTATTGTGCATTCGGCTTCACAACAATCAATTTCATCTACTTTTTCCGGAGAGTCGAGTATCGTTAATAAGAAACAATATACTTGTGAATCATGAGCACAATCAAAGTTCAGACCCACGGTGTTGTCAATACTAAATATAGTACTCCGAAATACAGTTGTTGGTTTCGAATCGAAATTAAGTAGATGGCCCTATTTCAGCCTAATCACAAGGGCACGTCTCTCGCTTGTTTCGCAAAAATTTTATTGCGCGGATGCTAAAACTTGCGAATATCACCAACGTCGTCATCTCTGTATAATAATGTAATCGGTGACTTCGTCGATTTCATTAATTTAAGGTCAAGAAACTAGGACAGTTGCTGATTTAACATTTAAAAAAAGGGATTATTCAATGAACAGTCGTCGCCGTTCTATAAGAGAATACGGAAATATTTGGAAATTTTGAAAGAATAACCGAGACAATTGCATGGACATACTATATCATACTCGCCCGCGCAAATAACAGCTAACATTTTGACATAATTGCGAGAGGCAATATTTGACTACACATAAAAATCTCGTCTATAATTCAATTGCAAACAGAGAAATGCCATAAAATGTTTATGAAATAACCCCCTTTTATATGCGCTTTTTACTTATTCGATATCTCTCTCTTTTTTTCAACAGGTGACATTGTGTGCCGAATTAACTGCTTATATGAAACAGAGGAAATGATCCTTTGATATTATACCCAATAAACAGTAGGTTTTGTTTTACGAGATTTACTTGTGGAAAGTGAATCTCAATTCAGTTCATATACTTTGATCAAACGACGACTACCAGACTGTCCAAGATGCCTATCAACGGTCACGGTCAAAATATGCTAAGCGGAGGAACGAATGGGATGCTCAATGTGTGCGTCAATAATGCCACAGGCGGCAATAATTCTGCCAAGGTACTTAATCATTACCATAATAAATGTTTTAACGTAAATTCTTGATCAAAAATTACGACAAAAAGCACGTTTCTGAATGGATTTCCTATTTTCTCTGCCTTTAGACAAATAACAGTAGTAAAAATGGTCACCGATCGTCACATCAAACGCATCCTCATTTGAGCAATGTGTCAACCTCATCATCACCAACGAGCTTCATGCATGACAGTCACTCAAATGGTGCAATTCACATGAGTGGAGGTCCAATGAGTCCAAATAGTCAAGACGAATATTCTAGCAGTTATGATTTAAATTCACACCTTAAACGAAAGGAACTATTTACACAGCGAAAGCAACGCGAGTTTATACCTGATAACAAAAAAGATGACAGCTACTGGGACCGTCGACGTCGCAACAATGAAGCGGCAAAACGATCTCGAGAAAAACGACGATACAATGATATGGTGTTGGAGCAGCGTGTTGTCGAATTGACAAAAGAGAATCACGTGCTGAAAGCCCAATTGGATGCGATCAAGGATAAATATAATATTTGCGGTGAGAATTTGGTGAGTGTGGAACAAATCATGGCGACACTACCAACCACCGAACAAGTTCTGAGCATTACAAAACGACCAAAATTCAACACAAGCAGCGGAGCATCACCAAGCGATTTGTATCCACAATCGCCAGGTTCACCAAATCAAACATCAGTGATTCAGCAATCATCATCAGGTAGGTGTAAAGTTTAAGTTATTGTGAAAATCAGAAGCTCAGAAATCTCTAATGTCCTTTTTCCTTTTGTCCAGGTCCAGCTTCAGTTGATTCGTCATCGCCGCCAGCACCTTCATCTGTGGCACCGACCACTAACGTACCGACAATTGTTGCTCCAATTGTAACACAGACACCTCAAATTCAACCGTCTTCTGTAGTTGCGGCTGCTGCTTTTGCGCATTTAAATAATACATACTTGGATGCAACGCCACAACGAAATACTTATGTAAGTTGCTCACCAAAAACTAAGCTCAAATAATTTATCTGCTTCGTCAGAGAGAGTATGGCCGATATTTATGTTGTCTTTTTAATTTTGAAACAGAAATACCGTGATAGTGGCCCCATTGAAATTGATGGTAGACATGAAATCTATGGACCTCGACCAAATTTCCACAATGCTGACCATCCAAGCCCAAATAATAATACCAATGGATGTAATGGTAGCACTACTATAAATGGTAAATAACACACTCTATCCACCTTGGTGATATAGACTAGAAATGGAATTTGATTTCAATTTCGATTTTTTTCTTCAAAATTTAGCGCGATACAATCAACATCTTTCGCCACTTTCTCGATCAGCCAATACACAAGCCGATCATCATCGGCATGCTGCGCACGCAATAGCTTCACATTCACAACTTCATCCTTTGCAGCATTTTGAAACGAACGATGTGAACAAAATTAGTCAGTCGAATTCAAACTGCAATGGAAGTGACACTGACATAACTGCTGTCGACGACGATTCAAACGTTTTGAATTTGTCACGGCGCCGCAACAGTGATACAACAAATTGTAACGGTTAGTATTTGATTCTAGAACAAACGGTGTAAAAAAAATGTAAGACTCAATCAATATTAAATCCATTTTTATTCTAGGTAATCATAAAGCTAAGAATGGTAACGAAACTCCCCCGAGAAGTATAATTTATGTGAGTATAACATTTGAAAAGCCTGAAAAATGGACAAATAAATAATGAATTGTGATTACTATTCATTATTTACAGGCTTCACTTGGTAGTTCAGCATCGACAGAGGACGACCAATATAGTGTTGACAATCAGCCAATAACCGACACAAACAACAGCTTGCCGTTGAAACTTCGACACAAATCGCATTTGGGCGATAAAGATGCAGCAACCGCACTACTGGCTCTCCAACACATTAAACAAGAACCTAATTCGAGATTGTCACCCCCATGGGATGGTGAGGGATCGAGCGATGAACGTGATTCTGGTATATCGATTGGGGCCGCCGAATGGGGCATTCAACGAAGCTATCAACTCAATGAACGGCCCGAAACTAGCCAAATTCCACACAATATACGTTCAATGACAGCTAAAACATTTACGATTCCATCATCAGTGTTGCCATCAGTTGGCATAAATGGTATTGGAGCGGCGATTGGAAATTTGGCGGCTAATCTTAGCAGCGTTGGTGTAATGGGTGGACTAACGATGGGCAGTTGTGTTGGCAATGTATTAGGTGTAAATGAAAACAGTTCCGATCGTGACGAACGGAATCATCGCTATGGAGAGCAAAAATCATTCCGTGCACCAGTTATGTGTCACCTTGAGATCAACAGCAACACGGATGAGGGCAATGTCAAAGAAGAAAATGTACATTTGAAAACCCAAATTGCAAGGCTAGAGAGCGAGGTGGCATCGATTAAAAATATGATGATTTTAAATACAAACTCTGTATCAGCCACAGCTGTTCAATGAAAATATTTACAAAATTATGTAAAAAACAACTGCTGTTAACCGAAACTTTATTTAGTGTTTATTGAATAAAAAACGAATTGAAATCACAATATAAAGTTAAGAAGTTTTGAAAATCAGATGTCATCGACACACATTTTCTTAAATTTCTAAGAATTTGCAATTGAACGAAAAAAAAAAAAAACAACAACAACAACAACAACTAGCATTTCAAATCTGATTTCAGCAACGAACAATTTAACCATTGATTGTTAATTTACGTTGATCAAGCGGCTTATTTCCTTTGAAATTAATGTTCCCAATTCCTTTTGTATACAACGTATGTTAGCTAATAATATTAAGAAGAGGAAAAAATAGTTAGCACCAGATGATATACACCAGGAATACATTTTATTATTAATAATTCAATTGACTTACTGAGAATGCGTTGGGGGTGTGTGCAGAGTAAAAAAATACAATGCATTTGCTGTATGTATTAAGGAAAGAACGTAGAAATTAAACACATACTTATTGAAAACTTCAAAAGACTTAAATCAGTGAGCGGACGAAAATTGGTTTCGTTTGCCAAGTAAAACATCAAAACTCAATAATCATTTTGAACTGAAATCCAGACGAGATTTAATGCCAAAACAAAACGAAACAAAAGTATCTCGGAAGGGGCGAAATAATTTACGCTTGAATTATTATCGCCTTGGGATTACTGAAAATAATCAATACAGCATATAATTACAAAAAAAAATCATCGACGAAAATGACTAAAAAAAATCAACTATGATAGAATGCGTAGGAACTAATGAAAATGAAAATGAAAACAAAAAACAATTGTTACACTGTATTTATTTTTTTAAAGGATCAATATCTAGAACTCCGTAGCGATTATTTTTTCATATAAAAACTATGTTTATATCATTCATATTATATACAAGTGAGTTAAGAAGAGCGATAGAGTAGCTAATTTAACTAAAGCATAAAAAATGGATTCAATGTGAACACGGATGTGAAACATCAAGTAGGATAAGGTAGCGAGTGAAGTAAAGAGAAATATTGTTGGATTTTAATAAAATTATATATATATATTTAACATTAAAATGGAATTTATGAATAAATAACTCGCTTATTATTTTCATACATTATGCATACGCGCAAGAATATTTAGCTGGTTTTTGGAAAAGCGTTGGAATGCCGTTTATTTTATTCTATTTATTTGCCTTACTCTAATTTATACTAGATATGTAAGAAAGCTTTCCTTTGCTGGAATTCTAAGATTGAACCGTAAAATTCATCCAATTCAAAATCGGTTGTTCTAAGAGCGATTTCGATTTTGTCCCAAGAAATGAAAGAATGCCTAATTTTCACGTTATCTGTCACAACTATATTTCTTTTGTTCGTTTCGTTTCCACTGAAATCAGTACCTAACGTACTGGATCGATAAAATTGTCTATCGTTGATCAAATTCAGAATTTGAATATTAACGAAATGAAAGAGAGAGGTGCTTTTTTTTAACTATCTACTCATATCAAATGATTAAAAAATTGTTATTTCAACGTCAACTCATTGCAAACGGAAGTGAAGTAAATTCGGTTTGGACCGTAAAGCGAGCTAACTCTAAGAAGTGATAAAATCTATGAACTTTAATGTACTAGCAAGAAAAAACGAATCATTTCAGATAATGTAATTGTAATGATATAATTTTTTTGGGAAAAATCAAGAAGAAAACCATAAAAAACTGTGCAAAATAGAAACTTTTTCATATACAATACTTACAGATTTTAATAATTTTTGTAGCCCTTTTTTCCTATCTTTTTTGTTTGTTACATTTATTATTGATTTTTGAAATGAAGTAATTTAACCAGGGGATATAGGGAAAATATTATGATATCTTGATGCGTTTTTTTTAAATAATTACAATTAATTTTATCATATTGCTATTTTTTATTTTTTACTGATACTGTTCATCGTTGTTATTAAGGGATGCATATGCTTTTTATTGGCATACCCTTTTATCAATTCGATTGAACATTAGAACAGCATAAATTTTGTTTGTTACAATTTATTCTTATAAAATTGTATAAATAAAAAAACATTGAAAATGTATGATTTGATGAGTGATGTTTTTCTTTGTCGCTCTCACACTTACCTTACAGGAGATTGAACGAGCTAAAAGGATTTATATTCTTTATCACTTTGATCATACCTAGCCATTACTTTGATCATTTTTTCATCAACGAGAACGCTCATAAAGAAAACTATGGTTCTTGAATAGATTCAAAAATTGTTGTCCATTTTGAACGAAATCACATTCGATATTTCTTCAATGTTTCCGAATTGAGCATGGACAATGCACATTCTACCACGACCTCAATAGATGGGCGGTGTCCATCATTCAATCTAGAATAGAATGTACTGTGAAATATTCAAAAAAATCAATATAAAATGATAAATGCTTTATTTGTCACTCGCTCTTCATCTTTCAATCAATTCTGGTGCATAAATAATTTATGTTTTTGTTTGTTTAGTAATTAAATCAGTAACAATTTTTAAAAATATCTTTGATTTTTTTGTTATTTTCATTTATTCTACTCAAATTAGCAACGACTTTCGACTAAGAATTACAATAACATAATGGGTCTAAATATTTCTTTTACTTTAACACGTGTTAAGTCGATTTTTGTGATAACTTCGGTACTAGTTTAACACTGGAAATGTAAATGTGTCTATGCATTTAATACGTGTTATCTCCGTATTTTGGTGCTAATGGTGGAATTTCGTGTTAAAACGGAAAAAATGACTTCAAATTGTGTTTTAACATAGATGATTGCAAATTCCAATTATATTTTATTGTTTAATAACATTGTTTATTTGTTTGAAATGCTTTCAGCTATTTATATCTACAAAAAATTTCTTGGATATTTTGGAATTATTTTTAAAACAAGATCAAATTAAGAAATACAATTTTGATTTTTTCCAAGCCTTATTCATTTCTATTCAAAACTTCTGGAAGGTTTTAGAACTTAGATTTCTAACCTGGACAAATTTTGAACGCATTGAATGATAAATTTGTGAAAAATAAATGAAACTTCTAGCAGACTTGAGAACTTTTCGCGAATATTCTCTCTCTGGTGTCTGCATTCTTATTGATACTGATCCAAAATTGATATTTTTTCAATTTATAAGATTTTTTCGTGGATTAGTTTCTTAGGCTTGAAAACAACTTGAAATTTCCCGAATTTTTTTCAAAACTTCCAAAAGGTTTGAGAAGTTAGATTTTTAACCTGGACAAATTTTGAACGCATTGAATGATTAGTTTGTGAAAAATAAATGAAACTTCTAGCAGACTTAAAACTTAGACTTCAAACCTGAATAATAATTCTAAGCCAAATTAAAAATTTCATTTATTTGTTCTGAAATTTGATATTGTTTTAAAAGGCTTGAAATTATTATTCACGTTTGAAGTCTAAGTTTTAAGTCTGCTAGAAGTTTCATTTATTTTTCTCAAAATTATCCTAATCCACGAAAAAAACTTATAAATTGGAAAAATATCAATTTTGGATCAGTATCAATAAGAATGCAGACTCCAGAGATTGTTGTTTAATTTTTTTAAATTTGATTATCTTTGATCCAACAATGTCTTTCGGAAACATGTGAGTTCATATTGACTGAACAAAAAAATTGAAGTGTGAACTAAATAAAATTAATCACTGAGAATTATTATCGAAATTGCAACTAATAATATATATTGGCAACACATATAACCAGAACTGGTGATATTCCTAATACTAGTAAATAGTGGGTACAACTATAACACGAAATTATGGGATAACTCAACAGAAATTACATTAGAATATTCTTTTTCGTGAT